CATTTTAAAATTCCCGGAACTTTCATATCAATTTTAAGGGATAATTGCATGCAAACCACCCAAACATCAAATTCCCGGAACTTTCATATCATTCCAAACTAGTTTCCATCAGAACTTCCTTGCCTCAATGTTGTCCAATGAGGTTTTGTGAAGGCCATTAATGAAAGTTAGGAGTGGAAGAAATGCCCACATGAAGCAAACAAAAAAAGAGGACTCAATTAATTTTCGGGTTGGGTTCAACTAAGGTATTAATACGTTTAACTTTTCCTGCTAACCTAAAATTGATAATTCAAACTAAATTTGATTGAATTTGACCCATCGAACCTAAAGTAATATGAATTTGAACCAAAATTAACATGAATTAAAACTGAATAATTGTTATACATGTTAGAAACGGTGGAGCTCGGTCCATTATGCTTGCGCGGTTACTTTGCTTTGGAGAGTCACACCTCTTCACAAATAACTACTCCCGCCTTCCTCTTTTGTGAAGTGAAGCATCTATTCGCTCCCTTTTGTTTGTGATAAAAGCTTCTGATGGCTCTCATTGGGTTTTGTAGTCACGCTTTGAGTTCTTCTTCGGTTTTTTTGGGATAGAGGAAGGTTTTCTCGGGGCAGAGGAAGAAAAGTGCAAGGAGGAGCAGTTCCTTGCGGCAGAAGGAAGAAGAAGAAGATTGTTCTCCCTAGGCTTCTTCTTGGTGGCTTGTGGCAGAAGAGAAATTAGGTTTATTTAAGTTTGTCTTCTTCGGTGTATCTCAATATAGAGAGAGAAAAACAGAGAGAGAATAAGAGAGAGCAATGAAGAGTGAGAGATTCCTCTTGTAAGTCGAGGTGATCGACTGGTGTAAGTTCCTCAAGTAGTAAAATCCTCTACAACTCTGTGTACGTAGGCAATTTGTCGAACCACATAAATCTGTGTGTTCTGCTGTGTTGTTCTTTTCTGATGTGATTTTTCCTCGACTGGTGTAAGTTCCTCAAGTAGTAAAATCCTCTACAACTCTGTGTACGTAGGCAATTTGTCGAACCACATAAATCTGTGTGTTCTGCTGTGTTGTTCTTTTCTGATGTGATTTTTCCTGTTCTATTTTTCACTTCGTCGATTGTTCTCCTGTTTAATTTTTATATATATACACCACATCAACTGGTATATCTAGATCTCGCAACAACAACAACTGGTATCAGAGCGTGGTTTCAGATCTGAGGAAGAATGATGACTGCAGATGAAGTGAAGGTTTCAGGGGTCGAGAACTTTGATGACACATATTTTGGTTATTGGAGAATACTGATAGAGGATTATCTTTATGAGAAAAACTTCATCTTTCGTTATTGGGGAAAAGACCTGAAAGGATGGATGATGCTGAATGGAATTTGTTGGATCGACAAGTTCTGAGGGTTATTCGATTGACCCTATCGAGGTCCGTTGCACACATCGTTGTTAAGAAAAAGACGACTGCAGATCTCATGACAGTCTTATCAAGAATGTATGAAAAGCCATCAGTGAATAACAGAGTGCACTTGATGAAGAAATTATTCAATTTGAAGATGACGGAAGGTTTTTCTGTTGATCAACACCTGAATGTTTTCAATACTATCACAAATCAATTGTTGTCTGTCGAAATTGATTTTGATGATGAGATATGTGCAATGATCTTGTTTGTTTCATTGTCAGATAGTTTGAAAGCCATGATGATAGCAGTTAGCAGTTCTGCAGATAAATTTAAACTGAAATACTATGATATTCATGATTTGATTTTGGCTGAGGAAGTTCGCATGAAAGATTATGGTGATGTCTCATGTTTGAGTTCGACACTGAATGTTGATTTCAGAGGGAGTGACATGACATGAACTTAAGTATAGGGAGATCAAAATCAAAGTTCAGTAAGCAGACAACCTATTGGAATTGTGGCAAAGCTGACCACATCAAGAAGAACTGCAGGAATCCTAAGAAGATTGAGAATGATAACACAAATGTGGTATCTGAAAAATCACATGATGCACTATTGTTGGCAGTTCATAGTTCTGTTGAAGACTTGATATTGGATTCATGGGCTTTAAATGTGGTAGGAAATCTACCACAGGCCACAGTGCAGGGCAGTGATGGAACTGAAGAGGAAAGTGGGTCCGGGGCACCCATTCTTATTGTTCCACAGACAGATGTTGATGAACCACAAAGCTATGAAGAAATCCTGTAAGATGAAAGTTCGAGCAAGTGAGAGCTGACAGATCTTCCACTAGGGAAGAAGACATTGCACAACAAGTGCACAACAAGTGGGTGTACCTGGGTGTACCAAGTGAAGACTGAGCGTGATGTCAGTAAGAGGTACAAGGCTAAACTTGTTGAAAAAGGCTTTCAGTAGAGGCAGGATGTTGCCCATGTGGTTGGAGTTGTAAGAAGAGACAAGACTCACCCAGAAAATAACTTAGAGGTGCAAAGCTATGTGGAGTCTAGTCTGTTGATATGTTAACTGAGGAGCCTCCGTCTTCACTCCAGAAGATCAACTGAAGTTGTGCACAACTTCAGTTGATCTTCTGGAGTGAAGACGGAGGCTTTGAGTTGCAGAGGTGGAGGAAAATTGTTCAAGAAAAAGGGGACACCGCTAGTGGAGGATATCAATTTGAGGAAAGATATGTTGCAGCCTGTGTATCGGTCTCCAAGTGGGAGAATTGTTAGAAATAGTGGAGCCTGGTCAACTATGCTTGGGTGGTTACTTTGCTTTGGAGAGTCACACCTCTTTACAAATAACAACTCCAGCCTTTCTCTTTTGTGAAGTGAAGCATCTCTTCGCTCCCTCCTACTCGTGATAAAAGTTTCAGATGACTCTCCTTGGGTTTTGTAGTCACACTTTGAGTTTTTCTTTGGTTTCCTCGGGATAGAGGAAAGTTTCCTCGGGGCAGAGGAAGAAAAGTGCAAGGATGAGTAGTTCCTTGCAAAGAAGAAGGAAGAAGAAGGAAGAAGAAGGAAGAAGAAGGAAGAAGAAGAAGATTGTTCTCCCTATGCTTCTTCTTGGTGGTTTGTGGAAGATGAGAAATTGGGTTTATTTCTCTTGTAAGTTTGTCTTCTTCGGTGCATCTCGGTATAGAGAGAGAAGGAAAGAGAGAGCAACGAAGAGTGAGAGATTCCTCTTATAAGTCGAGGTGATCGACTGGTGTAAATTCTTCAAGTAGTAAAATTCTCTGCAACTCCATGGACGTAGGCAATATGTTGAACCACGTAAATCTGTGTGTTCCGCTGTGTTGTTCTTTTTTGGTGTGATTTTTCTCGTTCTATTTTTCACTTCGTCGGTCGTTCTTCTGTTTGATTTATATATATACCACATTAACTGGTATATAAAGATCTCACAACAACAACAATACATATGTTAGTTGTGTTATGCAAGCAAGGTTGTGTTATCGAGTCAAGCATTTCTTTGATTGGGTTCATGCATAACAATGTTATATTAAGTAAATAGTAAAATTTATGCTTTTAAAATGTAAATGATATACTTTTGAGTTGATCCACACTTTCAATTATGGGTAAAACAAAGGAGACCAAGTGAGCTCGATAGAAACAAGCGATGTAAGGCTCAAAAGACCACTTGCCCAATGCTCTCAAATGATCACTCACAAAAAGGTTTCTAAAAGTTATTAGCCCAAGCTCTTGAATTCACTAGAGGCTCAGAGGGCACTTAGTTAAAAGAGCACTTTGCTCTGACAAAAAATTCAAGTTGGGAAAATATTTGGCTAATCCATAGAATATTTACATGCATAAATGGCACTCACGTAGGGGGAAAATTAATACGTATGACTGACCGTAAGTCTGGATAGTAGTTTTGATGCAGCCACACTGTCGTGGATCACACGGCGGCCCATCCGAACTTTCATCCGGACATGCAGCTTCTTCATTTAGGGGGTTGAAAGGAACCCACTTATTCAAGGGCAGTCTCTTTATAATTAATACAATTTTTATGCACCCATCAAAACAACAATCCACATAAACTTTTTCCCCCTACCTTTTTCTTCTATTTAATCTTTATTTTTGCCTAGGCCTCTACTAATGTTGTGTGGTTTGTATGAGAATGGTTTTGAGTATTTTTGCAAGTAGATCATGATCTAACACTACATGATAATTCTATAAATTTATTTATTTTTTTGGAGAAAGTTGAGCCGGAAGGACAATATGTGCAATTTGAACATGCGACTTCACGATGAGAAACTAAACTCTCAACAATCATTAGAGCTGTTAACGATCTAATTTTGAGCTGAGTTGGGTTTTGCTTAAAATTAACTAAAAAAAAATTCAATCCAAAATTTTGGCTCGTAGCTTGGCCATTTTATTTTGATTCGAGCCAAAATTTGAATTGATTTTCAAGTGATTAACAATCTTCGATCTAAACTCGCTAAATTCAAAGCCCTGACATCTTTTGGGCGGTTAGCGATCCGCTCGAAATCGGATAAAAAAAAACTCAGATTTAAAATTTTGGCTCACAGCTAGGCTCGTTTATTTCGATCTGATCTCAATCTCATCCAAAATTTGATTCAACTTTCAAGATATTAACCATCTTCAAGCTACACTCACAGCCCTAACCACTATGCCACGAGTAAATGCACTAATTTTATATATTTATGCATCTAATACTCTTATATAACACTGAAATCTTCAACACTACAACAAAATTATCACTCAAATCCTTAATCAATTTTCTTAAATTAAACACATCTTTTCATTCTCATGCTTGAATGCTATTATGACACGAAATGCTTTATAAATAAATGATAAAATTTAGATGTTTAACATGTAAATATAAAAAAGATCAATGCAACATGCATCAAAATTCCTAAGAAAATACGGGTGCACAATTTCTATGTATTCATAGGTCTAACATCAACATTCTATTATTTAAGTTTATAACACTCAAATTTTCAACACCACCACTATCATTTTAAAAATGAGGCACATCTTCTCATCTACAACTAAATTGTTGATCCACAATTAAGAATTAAGCGGTATGTAAATTTGTCCCTTAAAAAAATTTCATAGTAAGCGGGATATTTCTGTCATTAGAAGCCAGAAGAAGCCCAAGATCGTCCAAGATGCCATTTTTCAGCTTTCGCTTCCAACTTTCTGGACGGCGGTTGCTTGCCTGTTCCTCTCGCCACCGAACTCCTCCTGTCATGTTAGTCTCCCGGTCATCTTCCACTTTACGTCACAGAGATAACTTTTGAGCTTCTGATAAACCTAAAACGTAACAACAAAGTAATTATCTCTCTCTCTCTCTCTCTCTCTCTCTCTCTCTCAAATATCCCACCTGCGGACCGTTGACAGGAATCTTGCTCCACTCTGCACCTCACCAGGCGTGTTCTCTATCAACTAATGGCGTCCGGCCAGGGAGGAGTAGTGATGTTCTGTCATTTATGGGCGGTGGCAGTGATTCTGAGCTCGGTGGCCGGAATGTTCGTGGTGGAGAAGAGCAGCATCCGTGTTTTGCGGCCAGAGCATATCAGGGGGAGGCATGAAAGTGCCATTGCTAACTTCGGAATCCCTAATTATGGGGGCACGCTAGGGGGTGTTGTTCTGTACCCAGAAAAGGGCGCCACTGGCTGTAGCTCCTTTGATGGTGCTCGCTTCAAGTCTCGCTCCGGCCGCCCTGTTATCCTTTTGCTTGATCGTGGGGGTAATTAATTGCGATCAATTGGAGATCTTTGATGTGCTTCTGTTTTTTTTTATTGATACTTTTGATTTTTGTCGCATGAGTTATTATGAAGTTTCGTGGAGTTGACGGGCTGGTTTGGGAAATTTCTTTTCAATCTGGTACTGTGAGAAAAAAAAAAGAATATTTGATTCTTCTTCTTCATTTAGTTTTGTTTGGATTGAAGGAATGTTAAGAAAATTAAGGCAGTGTTTGATAGCATGCTATAATTCCGTCAAACACAAAAAGAATAAACTTAAATCTATTGCTTAAATCAATTATTTTCACGTTCTATCTATTTTTCCTGTTTTCCGTCTTCTTTAGAACATAAATTCGGATGTTATAAATTCGATTGCAGGTCGGATTTAAGAAATCACACTGTCATTTAATCGAGCTTCATTTCTGTTTTCGAGATTCATCGGATTTAGTAAATCATATTTAACATAAATCAATGTTTCCGCCAAACACCGCTAAATGAGATACCAACAATTTAGGGGTTGGTTATGAATCTGCAACTGTTGATTTATTAAACTTTTGCGTCCTTTTTTTATTTTCTTTTTTCATTCCTTTAAACTCAAATCCTAACGTCAAAAAACGGCCTTTTCCAGCCTTTGAGATGTTTTATGCAGCTTGTTATAAGGTCTGCGGTTTTGTCTTAATATGCTTGAAGAAATTCTGATATTTTTTTTGAATATCTTACCAGCTTCTCTTGTAGATTGAATCCTCAAATTGAAACTGGTGCGACTCTTAAAATAAACTAGCTTCTTCCCTGGTAATTAATTTCTCCATTATAAATGAATTTATAAAAATATTTATAAGATCATTGTGAAAAAATGGGGTTCTTCAAAAGCTGTTATTAGTATTATAATTCTTTTTTTTTCTTTTGAAAAAGTTGGATCATAGCATTTTTACAACTTTAATAGATGTGGTTCTAAGAAATTCTTCCTCATTCCATAAATTTTTGAAAAGAAAAAAAAAACTATATAATAAAGCATAATATAGTGGTTTGAAAAAGAAAGTTGTGAAAGCTGCTAATCTTTCTAAAAGAAACTAACATCACTCCTGTGTAGTCATTTCTCCATAATAAATGAAAAGATTTGGTTTGAGAACAGGCCGGCCTTTGGCATTTTACTAACATAAGCGAATAGTCTTCGATACTTACCCCTTAAAGAAGAGATTTTGATATCAGCTACGCATCTTGCAGCCCTTTTTCTTACTGAAAGCTCTCAATCTATTGAAAAAGACAACAATTTGATCCTCCTTTACTCCTTTCATAGATTGCTACTTCGCTTTGAAGGCATGGAACGGCCAAAATGCCGGGGCTGCTGCTGTTCTAATTGCGGACAGCATAGATGAACCTCTGATCACCATGGACTCTCCCGAAGAGAGTAAAGATGCCGGCTATGTGGAAAAGATCAGGATTCCCTCAGCTCTGGTAAACCGAGAGTTCGGCGAAGCCCTTAAGATAGCCGTTGAAAAGGGCACTGAGGAAGTTGTCGTGAAATTGGATTGGAGAGAGTCGATGCCTCATCCTGACGAGCGAGTCGAGTACGAATTCTGGACGAACAGCAACGATGAATGCGGCACCAGATGTGACGAACAGATAAATTTCGTTCAAAACTTTAAGGGGCATGCTCAGATTCTTGAGAGAGGTGGATACACTCTGTTCACCCCTCACTATATCACCTGGTTTTGTCCTGAGGTTTTTATGGCTAGCACACAGTGCAAGTCCCAATGCATAAATCATGGTAGATATTGCGCTCCTGATCCAGATCAGGATTTCACGGAGGGGTACGAAGGTAAGGACGTGGTCGTGGAAAATTTGCGGCAGCTTTGCGTGCATCGAGTAGCGAATGAGAATAACCGGTCGTGGGTTTGGTGGGATTATGTGACGGACTTTCATATTCGTTGTTCTATGAAGGAGAAGAAATATAGCCGAGACTGTGCGGATGATGTTATCAAATCTCTTGGTTTGTTCCCAAATTTTAAATCTTGTTGGTCTCTCGCTTCTGGTTGTTTGTGAATTGTGAGTTCTAAATTAACATTGGTTTACAACTGTCCAATTTATTAGGAATGCCTTTAGATAAAGTCAAAGAATGCATGGGAGATCCTGAAGCAGATATTGAGAATGCTGTGCTGAAGAAAGAGCAAGATCTTCAGGTGATTTCTTTTTCTTCTCTTTGTTTCAATCTTCCAGCTGAAACAAATGCTTAAAAAGCCTTCCTTTAACCTTTTTGTATGATAAAAATTGAATTTTGATATAGTGGATTTATGGTTTTCTTAGTTGATATTTCAACATGTTCAATAATAGTTATGTAAACTTTGAAACAAGTTAGGCTGGTAGTGGCGCACGAGGTGATGTTACCATCCTGCCAACCCTTGTTATAAACAACATCCAGTATCGAGGTATGCTTCATTTTTTAGCTCGGTTCGTTTTAGGTGTATTTGGTATTTTGTTATTCAGTAATTTTTTGTGCAGAAGTGATTAGTTTTCTCCCTTGCAGGAATACTTGAGAGAATGGCTGTGCTAAAGGCAATCTGTGCGGGATTCAAAGAATCTACAGAACCTTCTGTTTGCTTAAGTGGAGGTTTTCATAGAAATGCCATTCTCTATTAATGAATGGGAAAAGTGTTATAATGCCCCCCTGACTTTTTGTTTGTAGGGGCCATTTTAATCCCCGAGTCTATAAAAAAATCAGTATTCTTCCCATACTTCATTAATGGGGGCTGAAAATCAGTTTTCTCCCCATGCTTCATTCTCTCCGGACTATTTCAGCCAATATTAAAAAAAAAAAGACTGATTTGACATTTTATTAAATTATGGGACTAAAATGATCAATGTACATAATGAGACTATAATTTTGACACTTTACTCATAAATGAAATATATTGAATGTTCACATCTCTGCGTGATCTAAACTTAGTAATTGACTGTCATTGTTCTTCTTATAGATGTTGAGACGAATCAGTGCCTCGAGAGGAATGGGGGTTGCTGGCAGGATTTACGGGTGAATGTAACGGCATGCAAGGTATTTTATGATGTGAAAATTATTGAATTTGGTTAATTTTATGATTTTCTAAGACTGCTGCTGTATATCATTACAATCTATGTAACATAAGTTTAAAGCAGAAAAATGGCTGATTTTAGTAATATTTTTTTTTTTTTTAGGATACTTTCCGCGGAAGAATCTGTGAATGCCCTACAGTGAATGGTGTTCAGTATCAGGGAGATGGATACATTTCCTGCAAAGGTACGTATTTTGCTGTTAAATTCTTAGCTTGCTGTGAATAAATTTGAGCATTGAATCTTGAATTTTAGTGTACTCTATTTATTGCCAAAAAACATTCTCTAAATCCAAAGTTACTTTTTTTTTCTGTTTTAATACATTGAAAGCAAACACTAATTTCATTTTAACTTTGGTATTAAAGAATAAAAATGAAAAAAGCGCTTTTCTATAGATACAAAAGAATCATTGGACTGATGAAATTTCCAAATGCTGCTAATCAAAGCAATGAACAATGCTGTAAATCGTATGTCTTGATTATGTCTAGAGTGACTTGTTGACAGTATTAGAGAAAAACTGACTTGTAAAAATAGTAATTTGTGTGGACTAATTTTTATATAATTTATGTCTTGGTTCTTGCTCTTTTACTTCTTTTTTTATTCTAATCTTCTTGTAATATCTCTCGATTTATTTTCAGCCGTTGGGCCTGGAAGGTGTGCAGTGGGTAATGGTGATTGTTGGTCGGAAACCAAGAATGGGAGAACATTTTCTGCATGCTCAGTATTGCATTTTTAACTCTCTCCATTACAAAAATCTTTCTTTTCTTTTGTCTTCTCAGATTGTGTTGCTCACATTCTCTTTTTGATTCATGGAGGACTTTGATTTGAGTGGCTGCCGCTGCCCTTTTGGCTTCCATGGTGATGGCTACAAATGTGAAGGTGAATTTCTTAGTTCTAATTGGCATTCTTAGAACAAACATGTTTTTTCTTCTGCTTACTAGGGAAGAGAACAGAAGAATGATTTAATGCAAACATAATAATATAATTTGTTGTTTTTGAGCCAGATATTGATGAGTGCAAGGAAAAACTTGCATGCCAGTGTGATGGCTGCTTCTGCAAAAATACATGGGGAGGATTTGATTGCAAGTGTAAAGGAGATCTTCTGTATATAAAGGGAGAGGACACTTGTATAGGTAATGTTTTCAACTTAAGAGTGAGATGTAACTTTAATAAATTTTCAAAAATTGTATGCCGGATAATTTTTATAATGAAATTGGGGCATTTTCATACATACCACCCAATTCTTACGTATCTAAATATCTAACTTCAATCATTACATTTATACCACCCAAATCTTTCATATGATATCAAATATACCACTGTTTTAACTTTCAAAAAGTTAAATACACCTTTTCATAAATAGGAAAGATGACATGTATGTAAAAATTGAATTTAGGTGTTAGATATGTAAATACAAAAGAAATGAGAGGTATGTACATCTTCCAAAACCAATGATCTTTTCGTTATAAAAAGCATTAAATCTGTTTGTTATATCTACAAGTGTATATTGGGAAGATTGACATTAATTAACTTAATTAAATGAGATCTAATTACATGATTTTTTTATAGTAGGAAGCTTGATATTAGGTAACCTAATTGCAAGAGATCTAATTACAAGTGTTATTCTATATTAGAAAAATTCCTAATTTGTATGTCTCAGTCCTCTCTTCTTTATTGAAGAGATTATGACTGATTTTTTGCTGTTGAGTTGTAACCCTATTTCGGTCGTTTTTTCCTCTCACCCCACCTTTTATGGTGAATAACCTCTCTCGAGGATTTGTACCAAACTATATAATTAGATCTGTTGTGTGATTTTGTTTGTATCAAAGCTGAATTGGTGCGATTCTGATAACAAGCGACTAAGATTCTAGCTAAGTCGCAGCCACAAGGCAAAGAAATTGAAACAATTTAGGTTAAGAGATCTGGTAAAGTCATGGATAATAGCATGTTATCAAGTACTTTCACATCAACCATAACGTTAGAAAATGTGTAGATTTATCAGGTTGTTACACATCCCGTCAAAATTGATGTGATGAAGGTTTGACAATAAAAGAAATTGTGGCATGTGGTGATGTAAGGCTATTGATACATTGCACTCTTTGAAACTGGAGAAATTTTTTGACAGCCATAAACATCCTAAAGAGATATCAGAAAGAAATTAGTTGAAAATGAATTAGAGTGTTTGTGGCTTGATCTGAAATTACTTATCTCAGAAGATCATGGGGTGATGATAGAGGCTTTTGCCAAAAAATTATGGAGAATGCTAGAGAATAAATATCTCACGAAAAGTGTTTAAAATCATCTCCATATTAAACTTTGAGTTTACAAGTTTCAGATGATATGTGATATTACTATCGATGAGTACTTGAATAATTTTACAAAATTTTTGGCAAATTCGATAAATTTTGATGAGAAGATTAGAGATGAAGATAAGAAATTTTTTCTGTGAATTCACTCTCGAATGAGTACAAAACATTTACAATAACACTCATTTATGAGAATGTCTTGAATTATGACGAGGTGACTGCAACATTATTGAATCATAAGTTTCGTTGAAGGGCAAGGAATCCGCAAAGATGGAGTAGGTTGAGACACTTATAATCCAACTTGACAGATTTGAAAAGAAGAAAAAATTGGCAAAGAAGGGTGCTAAGGACAATACTTCTAAAAAATAGGACAAGTCGCGTAGACTAGTCTTGAGAAAAAAACAATGTGTTTTCTATGTAGAGAATGATCATTTGAAAAAGATTGTCCAAAGCTGAAGGAGGGGGAAATGAAGCTTCTTTTGAGTGAAAGCTAATCTTATTATGGAGATGTGTGACGTGACAGATTTTGATGTATCGTTTTCTGCATTTTTTCATAGTTTGTGTATAGATGATTCATATTGAATTCTAGATATAGGTGTTACCTATCACATCTATCCTCATCGAGAGTGATCATGTATGTACAAAATGTTTGATAGCGGTGCAATGATTATGAGCAATGATCAAATTTATCATACTATTGGTGTAAGGAACGTTTTTATCAAGATGTGTGATGATACTATGAGAGTGTTGATTGATGTTCAACATGTTCCAGATATCATGAAAAATTTGTTGTCAGTTAGAGCATTAGAGACCAAATGCTACAAGATTGTTATTGAGGTGGTTCTGAGGATATGTTGTGGAGCACAAATTTTTATGAAGGGAGTTTGTGATCACAATATTTATTATCTTCAGGAACGTATAGTAATTGAAACTGTAGTTGTTGTTGGTGATTCTTTGAGTGAAACTACATTATGACATCTGTTGCTTGTTGATGTTGAAGAAGCTTTACTTCAGACTTTGATGAATTAAATATTGATAAAAAGAGCGAGCACTTGCAAGCTCGATTTCTTTGAACATTTTGTGTTTATTGAGAAGATATCAATATCATTTAGTACTGTCATCTACATTATAAAAGATATTTTAAAAAATGTGCACACAAATATTTGGGCCCGATGAAGACGATATCATTCAACTGGTGGAGATATATATTTTTGTTTTATCGATGATTACTACATATATATTTGGTTGTACAACATGAAGCGCAAGAACAAAGTGTTGTAGATTTTCATGACTTGGAAGAAATGAACTGAGACTCATATTGGTAACAAATATGGTATATCAGATCAGACAATGTGGATGAATACATATCAAATGCATTCTTTCTGGGTGTCGTAGAGTTGAGATAAATCACGTCACTATTCGAGGCACTGCAATAGAATAGGGTGACAGAGAGGATGAACCAGACTTTTTTGTAGAAAGTTCAGTGTTTGTCGTCTAATGTTGTTTTGGATAGTGTTTATTGGGTTGAGGTCATAGACTATGTCTGTCATTTGTCTATAGCTATTGGAATGGAGACCTCAAATGAGATGTGGTTGGTGCATCCTACTAGATATTGTAAGCACATGAGAGTGTTTGGGTGTTCAATTTACTACCACATACAGAATAATAAATTGGAAAAACAAGCAAAGAAGACAATCTTTTTTGGCTTCACACATGGAGTCATGGGCTTCAAACTTTATGATCAGACATAGAAAAAGCGTGTGATTAACATGGATTTTACATTTGACGAGACAAACAATTTGAAGCATCAGGACTCAACGCATGCATATCGTTCTATTGGGACCACATATAAACATCAGCAGTTAGAGTTTGATGGAGCTTCACTTGCTCCACATAATTCGTCTGCTCCTACTCAAGTAACTTAGTGGCAGCTCAGAAGGTGCTTATTGACAGTGCTTGAGAGGACGTTGAAGAAGATGTTGAGAATGAGGTTCTTATTTATGATTATGTTTATTAGGAGCAGGATTAATCACCAGAGTATCTCAAAATCATCTTGGTTGAGGGATCACATTGTATTTGCATTTTCAACCACAAAAGTTGAAATTTCTTGTCACTACGAGAAAGTGGTGGGGAGCCCATACGGTTATTTTTGGAGAGGGGCAATGAATGAAGTAATTGAGTCTCTTGGAAGAATGTTATATGGAGGTCAGTGAGGCTTCCTTCGGGAAGAACAGTTATTTGGTGCAAATGATTATATGCAAAGAAATAAGATCTCATGGAGCTGAGGTGCGGTACAAAACTAGGTTAATGACAAAACTTTGCATGGTGAGAAGTGATTGACTTTGATTAGGTATTCTCTCTAATGGTTAAGCATCATTTGATCTGTGTTCTCTTAGCACTTGTTGTACAATAAAATAAGATTCTTGAGCAGCTCAATATGAAGGCTGCTTTCTTCCATAGAAAATTACAATAAGAGATTTATATGTTACAATTGTTGGATATGGAGCCTCAATAGAGTTGATTTATAGGCTAGAAAGGTCTTTATATGGGTTCAAAAAGTCACTACGATAATGGTATAAAAAGTTTAATTAGTTCATAATAGGACAAAACTACACAAAGAGTTAATAATATTATTATGCATATTTTAAGAAGTTGGTCAATAGTGAGTTCTTGTACTTGCTTGTATATATTAATGACATGTTGAATCTATCTGTCGGTCGTACCGAGGTTAATAAGATGAAGAAACAACTCTTCAAATATTTCGAGATGGAGGAGTGGGGTGAAACTTGTATAATTCATGGTACGAAGATTCTCTGGCATCTTGAAGGTTTGACTCTCACAATGAGCATATGTTCAAAATGCACTGAGCAAGGCGATGAGTCTACCCGTTGCATATTACCTTTGGTTGAATTCAAATCAGTCTTCTAAATATGATCAGGAAAGGAAAGGTATGCAGTCGGTTCTTTCTGTTAGTGCAGTGATAGTCTAATGGTTTATATTATACTAAAAATTGAGCAAGCGGTTGGTCTTGTGAGTAGGGTCTTGCATGATCGGAGGAGTCACTTGCAGGCTGTAAAGAGTATTCTGAGGTACTTAAATGGTACAATTGATGATAACTTGATATTTGAAAGAGAATCATCTACATTTGATTTGCGTATAAGTTACACAAATTCAAACTATCCAGGTAATATGGATAGGCGTAGATCTATGACTGACTATTTATTCAAAGTTGGTAGGAGGTTTAATCAGTTAGAGATCGGTTCTTCAGTATATTGTTACTTTGTCTGCTACGCAGGTTGAGTACATGGCAGTCACGGAGGCGTTGAATGAAGTGATATGAATGTAGGGCCTACTAGATTACTTGGGAGTTGATCATAAGTATCTGACGATATTGTTTAATAGTTGAGGTGCAATATTCTTGGCTACAAAACTAGTTCAAGTCTGTACCAAACACATTGATATATGGTACCACTTTGTCAGAGACTTGATTTATGATGACAATATTTTTTTTAGGAGGATAGATATGAAGGAAAATCCAATAGACATGCTCACAAAATGTATAAGTTCACCTACTATTCACAAAAGGTATAAGTCCATAAGGGCATTTTGAAGAACTACGTAAGGTTTGACTGTTTGGGAGAGAGGCTAGTATGCAACCATATTGGTGCAGTTGTTTTTGTATTGGAGCTCATTTTGGTCATCTCCCACTTATCAAGAAGTGCGAGATGACGTGTTATGAAATATATTAAATCTAATGATCGTATATTAGGAAGTGTGTATACTAGAAAAATTGATGTTAGGTAAGTTAATTAGAGATCTAATTAGGATATTTTCTATATTATAAATATTTTTGATTTGCATGTCATAATCTTCTCTTATTTGTAGAAGAGATTATGGTTGATTTTTCAGTATGGACTTGTAACCCTATTTTAATTATTATTTTTTCTCTCCTCACATGTCGATAATGGAATAACCACTCTTTGTGGACGTAGGCGGATTTGCGCTGAACCCACGTAAATCGCACCATATTTGATTGTTTGTCTGTAATGTGATTTTGTTTTTGCTTTGTTTTCCACAACAATTTTATGATATACTCTTCCCGCTATTGTTGAAAAGGTCAATTTTGCTATTTCCTTAGATATTACGATGATGCATATGACTAGCACGCCTCTCTTTTCTTGTCTACTTGATCAATGAATTAAAAGAAATCAACGCGGCGGCATAAAATTATCACATTATTGTATGTTTGCGCGTCTTCCAGTTTTTGTATTATTTAATAACTCTTTGATGATAAAACAATTTACTAGATAATGCTTTGATTAGAATTTTCAGAACTAAGAGCATATAAGATATTGGAGTTTCAGAAGGAACCTGCAGATTAATATGATCTCCTTCAGATCTTTAAATAATTTTCCCAAACATATATTTCAATTTATCATCTCATTTTGCCATCTAATGCAGCTAAGAATGCATCAAGATTGGGATGGATGTTGTCACTCTTGGTTTTATCCTGTTTGGTTGGTGCTGGAGTACTTGGTTATATCTTCTATAAATACAGGCTGAGAGTATGTTTTGTTATTCTAATTTCTCAAACTCACCATAGTATTTAAATTTATATTCATACAAATTAATATTTAACCTTTTTGTATATTTCTTTCAGTCTTATATGGACTCAGAGATCATGTCTATCATGTCTCAGTACATGCCTCTTGACAACCAACACAATGAGGCTCAGCCTCTGCGACAAGATTCCACCATATAATACAGTATAGTTTCTTCTTCATTGTGATTGTTAATTTTATACAACTTTTTAAATTTTAATTTTGGTTTGATATATTGCAGGGAGATTGTAGATTTAACAGCAGAGTTGGGAAGCTTGTGGCAGTATTCATTCAATAATCATTCTGCAAGCTCTACATGGTGAGAATAGATGAGAGGAAGGGAGGGGACAATGATGCATGCTGTTTCAGCTATTAATGTTGATTGTGTTGCCATAAATTTGATAATTTTGTTCATAATATGTTTAGGATCATGCTATACAACTTTGGTTTAAATTTTTTGGTGCTTTATAGTATGTAAATTTATGTAACTGATGATTTATTTGATGTCAATAAAGAATGTGTGTGTGAGAGAGAGAGAGAGATAATGACTTACATTTAAAGTAATATCTACGTCGAATCTAGTATGAGCTTACTCGTTTTGTTATTTGTCATTGAGCCAAACTTGAGTTTTAATTTTATTATTGTGATAGTATTCAAATTTGTCTTATTTAAATTTGACTTAAAGTGGAATGAGCTTATCAAATTGCAACACTATAAAACACAATTATTAGGTAATTGAATGATTTTTTAGTCAATTAATGAACATCCTATTAAACTTAAAAAATGACATTTTAATTCAATTTAACTAATAATGAGTGATGTGTCAAACAAGAAAATTTTATCATGAGGAATTAATATTGATGCAATTTGAACAATAAATATTCCAAACTAAGCGTCTTGGCAAGATCAATTCAATGCCAGAGGAAGTGATTCAAGCCGAATTCAATCAGATCTAGATCAAGCTTTTGAAGTTCAATTGAAAACTTTTGAATATTAATTGGAAAATGAAACGAAGCTCAAATTTGACATATAATCAAATCTAGTGTCTCAATAGGTGTAATTAACATGTCCGAGATTATTCATTTCTGAGGTTATTAATGTACTTCAATATTAAAAAAATAATATATTATACAAAAAATAAACATCGATCATCGGATGGAGTGCTTTGGAAAGCTAGCCCAAAATAACCAAAATACCTCTCTAAAAATGACCAAATTATCCCTCGCAATTTATACTTGATTTGTCATATAAAATTAGTAAACAATTTAAAAATTAAAATGATTTGTTTAATTTTTAATACAAAGTTATTAACAAATGATTTTACAAATATAAATAAATAAGCAATTGTCTAAATTTCAAATTAGGGAAGTTTGTACTGAGCAAATAAAATTATATATAAATTATGAATATATATTTTTTAATTAAATAACATAAATAAGTACAAATAAAATAGTTCATTGAATTGAAATATAAGTGTTTTTGTTAGAAGATCAACGGCGGTAGAGTGATAAATTAATTTGTTAGTAATGTACAAAAATTTAAAACACACAAATAATCGAAAAGTAGTCAATGAAGCCACCAAATCTTTTTTAAGTGAAAAACCCGAGTAAGAGAAAAAATTACAGTGTCTTGCCCAATCAAAATAATTCTCTATGTGATTGTAAGTACATTGATCCAATCTTTTTTTGAATTAGGGCAAATGAAATTACAAATTTGATGTACAATAACATTTCATCGATAATTAATAACCACAATCAAGTTGTAGTTTTTAGTGATAATTGTGATAACGTGCTGCAAAAGCTGTAGTTGGAGGTTGCAATAGTATCAGTTGGCCATCGAGGTCATAGTTGGATGTCATAATGATAAATGTTGGTCATGTAGGCCATAATGAGAAGTTGCAAAAACATCAGTTGGGTACCGAAGTCACAATTGGAAGTTACATGAACAGTGAACCACAAAAGGCGTAGTTGTTTGTGTAGGTCATTGTGGGGAGCTGCAATAACATCATTTGGCCACCGAGACTGTAGTTGAAGGTTATAAAGACAATAGTCAAACACATAGGCCATGGTCAAGAGCTACAATAGCATTATTTGGCCACCAACGTCATATTTGGAGATTGTAATGACAACAGTTAGTTACATAGGCTGTAGTGGGAAGTTGTAATATCACTAATTGGTCATTTAGGCTGTAGTTGGAAGCTGCATGAGTAGTGGGTTACATAAATTGTAGTTTGTCGCGTGAGTCATAGTGAGGAGCTACAATAGCATGGGTTGACCATCGAGGCCATAGTTGGATGTTGTAATGATAACATGTTGTCACGTAGAACATAGTTGGTCACGTAGGCTGTAGTGAGGAGCTGCAATAACATCAGTTGGCTATCGAGGTCGGAGTTGGAAGCTGCATGAGCAGTGAACCACATATGTTGCAGTTGGTCGCGTAGGCTATAAGAGAGAGATGCAATAACATTAGTTGGTTATCGATACCAAAATTAGCAATGCATCAGTAGTTGGTTGATATAGAGACATCACTTGTCTACATATGACATAGAAAGAAACTTTCGGAGTCCATAAAAAGCCATCGTGCTCTTAATACGACGGTTGTAAGTAGTTGATACAGAGATTTATCGTCAGATCTTTGATACAATTGTATTCGTTATCATTTATTTCACTATATTTAGGGTGTCTCATTACATCGTATCTAAGGCACACCATTATGTCATATTCACGGTGTGTCATTACATTGTATTATGATGCATCAATACACTATACTTGGGGTGCGTCATTACTCCCGAGGATTCATTGACGGCGGTGAGAAGGAGGTGACCGACAACGGTTGATGGCGGGCAGTGGATATAAAGGGCGAAAGTTATCATTAGTCTTCAAATCCAGAACGACTCTCAAATTCCACTCATTCTCCTCCTTCCTCCAGGTCCAAGTCTCACCCTAGATTTCAACCTCCTTTCATGGAAAAGAGTTGGTTCTATTTATATACATTGGGAGTGGCATTCTCCGTTAATATTGTGTGGATTCATAATACTTTATCGAGCGGCCCAAAGTGATTTCCTAGATTAGATGATGTTTATAAAAATTTAAGTGTCTTAAAAACATCAAAATTGAGTGATATTGGACTCATTGGTTTCTTCTCACAGAGACACTCGATTTGAGTAGAATTCATTTGACCATCTAATTAACCACATAAAACTTCTAAAAGTAGTTTAATTGTTTTGATGTGGGTTTTATTTGACTAAGATTGGATCAATTTTAGTGTTATTGGGTTCCTCTCGTCGATCCAGTCAGACTGTAAGTTTACTGAAATCAAATTTCTTGATTTTTATATTGAATTTGAATGCTTATTACTAAAGAAGCTTTGAGATTCATGTTAAATAATGAATTTTTTTAATGAAGTATCAAAAAGAACGTATATTAATTTTATACATTGATATCAAATTATAATTTATTACTATTAAATATATATTAATAAATTATAGCTAATCAAACTTATTTAAATAAAATGTCATATAAATATATAACCTTATCGATTTATTTGTTGAACAACAAATTTTATTGTGAACATTAATGAATTAGTTGGGCTATGATTAAACTTGATTCGTTTAACCTTCAAAATTAAGAAAAAATAATCAAGTTGATTTACTTATAAATTTGAATAACCATAATCAAATATTAATGGAAATGAGTTCTAGTTGTTCAAACACAAAATTGACCGACCCAACTCAGTATATTAAACACCTATGGGCTTTAGGTTTTTGACTTCTGTCGCCTGCCCCTAGAGGTGTAAACGAACCAAACAGAGTTCGAGTTCCACTCGTTTGAAATAAACTCGTGTTTGAAATTGTTCGTGAAGTTACTGTTCATGTTCAGTTTGATTTGTTTGAAATATGTTTGAAATGTTTGAAATATTAAAAATGTTCGAATTGTTCGAATTATTAGAATTGTTTGGAATCTTACAAATTTGTTTGTATTGTTCAAATTGTTCGAAATATTTCAAAAGCTTAAACTATATGAAATTAATGCTTAAACTTGTATGAATCACAACATAAATATAAAATAGCCGAAGTACAACTCATAATAAAATCATAATATCATATCTTATCCATAAATAATTCAGATCTAGAGGCAATATGCAGGATTTCACTTCCAAAAACTACGTTTCACTCAAAGAAACTAAATAAATCTAAAAGAAATATAAGAAAATTTAAGCTAAGAAACGAACCTCAAAATAAATACGAAATTATAGAATTTAATATAAGCTAAGAGGAGAATATAAATATAAGATTAGAATTTATAGGATTTAAAATTTTAAAATATGATAAAATTTTAGAATATATTATTGTTTTTAAAATATGATATATTTTTTATATATAATTATATTCAATTATTTTATAATTTAAATAATAACAATTCAATTATTATAGAACAAATGGCTATTCCTATTTGATTCCATTATAAATCAAATGAAAAAAATTGTTAATGTTCTGCTTATGGAACTAATCTAACGCGAACTCCCACAAGTGCCGAACACACCAACTGTTCGCGAGCTTTTTTGACAGCCGGTCACAGCCCTACCTGCCCCGATACCTCTTTCGCCCTCAGTCTCTCGTAACTCATAGGTAGTCCCGGAGAAGTACCAGCCGCTTTGCACCGCCGTAGCCGCAGAGTTCTGGAAAAACTCATTTTTCCTCGCGATCTTTTTTGCTATTGTTTTCATTGCAGAGCCTGTATGGATTCATAAATTGAGCGCGATAAGCGTGTGATTTTCCGTTCAACAGCGTCGCGATTGTGGAGGAAGAGCCGCCACGATAAGGCGCCCCGCCCCGGCAAGGCTCCAGTTGCCGCCAATTTGGCTGTCAGGTTAGCCTCGAAAACAAGGCCCCTTACGATTTCTTACATTTCCTGCAATTTAGTTTTTTTGCTTGATATTCTCTTTGTTCTCTTGAACGGACCATTTACGCGCTATTTTGAGTTAACCAGTGCTGGTTTAAATCCTGTTCAGGATTCGTAGTGATGGTTGTGTGGCAAAGGTGCCTCCGTGCGGTTATTCGGCAAATTGGCTTAAAGATTGAGCAAAGTCAGGCGAATAACGTCATTTCCAATTGTACATTTACAAAGCCTTCTCCTTTACAAGGCAAAGAGAAGATTTTTATTATATTTTTCTTTTAAATTTTGCAATACTGTACTTCTGAATTCAACACGTTGATCCATGATTTTTTATTTAATTATTTGAGATGGTGGCTCAAGGTGCAGTTGATACTTCACAACTATTTGATTAACTTTTGCATGGCTGGGTTTTAATGCAAATCAGTTTTGAAAAACCACTTAATTTTGTTCTTGTCAACGATAACTTTCGTTTCTTTGCTGTTTCAGCTGTATAAATTCATTTCTTGTTCTTTTTAAAGTTTAACTTTATCAGTGCAGGCCAATTAACTCTTCATAGCAGAGTCTGTGGAATTTCATCAATAGGAGTTTTTAGGCCTTCTTACCAATTCTTCCAGCATGAGGTACTTCTATGAACTCCTAATTGCCCATGAGAATGAGATGAAACTTTATGCCAGCATTTCTTTTTAATTAGTAATATATTGCTTTGAATGAGACTGTGGCCCTTTGGGATCACTTTTGATTTTTGTTTTTTATTTTTTCTTTTTCTTTCTGTTTTGTTTATGTTTTTTCTTGAAGCAGAATATGTTTAATATGTTGTAACATGTTTGGTTGTTTTTTTTTTTAAAAAACATTATATGTTTTGAGTGTTTTTAAAAATAAATTATTTTGTTTTTGAACATAAAAAAAATAAAAACATGAAAAAAATGCATTAGACAAGCACACTTTCAAAATAAAAGCCTAAAAAACATTAGTGATCCCAAACAAGCCCTAACAACCAAAAGTTATTTTGAAAACTTGTTTTCTTAATGTGTTTTTAATATACTTTTTTTTTTCCAAAAATAAAAAACCATAATTTTTAAAATAGTTAAAACAACTTTTAGGTGTTTTGAGTATTAAAAAAAAAACCATATTTTAATCATACATACCAAATTATATTTTGTTTCAAATTAAACTATAAACTTAACAAAATAAAAATTAGAAAATAAAAAATAAAAGTGATTTCAAGCAAAGCATAAATTTCTTCAATTTTTCATATGTTATGGTTTTTTTGAGTTGTGCATTTTTTCAAGATTTAGAAATTGTTTAGTTTTTTAGAATGCTTTTGAAATAACACCTTTAAGTTTATATATACATATATATATTTAATTGAATCTATTCATACAACAAAAATCTCCAATCAAATCATTGTATTTTTTGTTAGAACGAGCCAAAGCCATAATATAAGATTCAAAGTTGATTCGACTGAAATGCTGTGATTATCGATGTTACATGTTAGTATAAATGCCAACCAATTAGTATATGAAACAGAGTATGTATATTGATCCCACGAGGAATAAAATAACTTCCAAAGTCTGAAAAAGTTTTAGTATATTTGTTTTGAGTAAAGCCCGAAGATTTGAAATTTGGTGATTTTAAAGTTTATAATCTAATTTTTGCAAAAAATAAATCGTATATCTAATTTTAAATTTGAATAAGTGATAGAAAATATCTTTTAAATTGGTCCTATGCAAATCAAATATATCTCATTAACTCTATTAAACTTGACAATCAGAACAACGATTTTTTCTTGGCTCACAAAAACCCAATTGTTTATAAATTTTCTTACACGATTGTACCATCCTAATAACAATATTCTTCTTTTTCTAGAGCCATGTCGCTCAACAAAAACCCAATTGTGATTCTGCGTCTTTTATTATACAGAGTTGGTGTAGGTTTGAATCCAACATCCTACATGTATTTTTTTTAATTGATTTTAATGAGTCAATTTCGAGCCAAACATAATTAACAATATTTAAATCGAGCCGAACATGAACACACTATTCACGAGCCAATTTCGAACACGAGCAATTTTGAACGAACCGAACACGAGCAAAGTCCGAGCTCACTCAAGCTCGACTCGTTTATAACCCTAATCATAACTCATTTTAACATCCTAAGTGATTAGTTTATGATTAAATTAGACTCAAGAGGTTAAACTATTAACTTATAATCAAATTAACATACAATCACATAATATATATTTCACCAACTTGCATAAAATCCAATTCAATGAGGAGAAAAGTTTAAGTGCTACTCATTACAGATGAAAACAACATAAATTCCCTTGCAAAATCTAAAGTAAGTAAAGTTAGAATAATTTCACCGATGTTCTTATTCAAATTATACAAAATTACAACACAATCTCTGATTTTGTACCCACATTGTGTACAATCATATACTTGTTCTCTCTTAGGAGAACTCCCACACACCATCTCACACCATCTTTTAAGAATCCCTCCGTTAAAGCATGTTGATGGCTACAATGTTCTATGACACTCTCTCCTGGTGCGTGTCATCTTCCCCTTGGTGTCAATCTAATGGTCAAGCGTTTCAAAGAAAATTATGGATGAGCTCTGATTCATTCAAAATTAATTCTTTTATAGCCACAGATCGCCACACTGTCAAAGAACTGTCATAACTATCTAAGTCAGTTTGTCAACGTTGGAGTTCCTCCCGGGAGCGCCGAAGTCTCCGTTGCTCAATGTTGTGCGTCCTGAAGAAGGCACAAGGTTTCCCTGAAGTGGTTCAAAGATATTCTGCTCACTGCATGTGTCGTGCATGGAAGGTAGCAGGGACAATGTACCCACCCCACCCTATGGCACACTTGCGCCATAGCAGCGCAGCCAAACCATAAGTGGCGTAACTACGCCACATCTAAGACACCCTTAAAGTGGTGCATTGGTTTTTCTTTCTCGGTTGGACCATGCATGGTGCTTTGAATGTGACTCCTATGCTCCAAGCTCTCTGTTAGATAAGGCATGGGAGACACATATGTGGCAATAGGGTGGCGTGGCATGGGAGACACATATGTGGCAATAGGGTGGCGTCTTGGCGCCAATGGACTGAAGTTGAGCCACTTTTATGCGTTAGCTTCTATGCATGACTAATGTGTTATTAAGCACTCATGAATACTTATAGTCTGCAATTACACACAAAAATACATGAAAAATCATAAATAGGGAACAAATAATGAAAAAATGCAGAAAAATATCAACAAAATATATCACATATTTCAAACATATCAAAAGCATCGAGTTTTTTTTGGGTCTAATATGATACACAACTATAGCTTCTGATTAATTGATTGGTCTACAGTCTTGAGAGTAGCTTTATGTTGATGTCATGAGAATGATTGTACTTTGGGAAGTCTCCGTTCAAGACAAAGACCTTTATGAATTAGTAAAAATAACCAAAATGTGGTCCCATAACACAAATCAAGGATGTAGGTGGACACATAATTACATGTTTATGCTTGCAAAAGCTTGCGTGTAATTGTGTGCTAGATACGTGTAATTCCATGTGGTTCAAACCAAGGGGCCCCAATTATATTCAACCACTTGATTAGCGGTCCCATTATGTGCTCCCCACACCTAAGCAAGCAATCATGCTTCCTTTTCCTATTCTATGACAAATATGGGTACATCATCAAGAACACATATGAGGAGTGGTTAAAATTTTCTCAATAATTTTTATTATTCATGTTTTTGAAAACCTAATAAATCCCTAAGCTCTTATATCTCAGGGCCTCTAAGCCACATGTTCCATTTTATGGGGTAGCCGACCCCTATGAAATTTGTCTCTTCTATGATTTTTTTAATCTTTGGTTACTTTCCACGATTCTTAGTAATTTTATAAATGATGGAATCATGTGATTTGTACACTCCCTCCTTTACATCTCCTCTAAGCAGTGAGCAATGAACTTTTGTAATTATAGAAACTATGTTGCAACAAATAATCTAAATATAGCGTTGTAGCATTCTTATCAAAAGTTCATTAATATAATCGGGAGGGATAAATAATCATTGGAGTTTGTGCACATTGTAGGTCTCAAGCAAGCAATATCAAAGTCCTTTAATTTTGAAACTTTTGGTTAGTGCTTTATCAATACTTAATTTACCTCTAACAGTATATCTCTCCTTAATTACATATGGCTTTGTGTGGGCTTTTAGTCTTACATGATTCTATTGAAGAAGAGCTTATAGAACATTGAGTTAGGTTGTTTGAGCATGGATTTTGGAGAGCCAAATCTGGACTAATAAGATTCAGGAAGTAGTTGATTTGAATGTAAAAAAGAAAAAAAAAATACATGAATCAAATTTTACTTGGCTAAAGTTATACAGTAAACATTTTGTGAACTACAATTATCTATGGCATGCAACACTAAATAACAATGAATGATGGTGGATTCATTAGTTCGACCAAAATAGTTTGCAAAAGTGTAATCTTTTTTGGCGGGCTTAACTGAGTTGGGCGATCAATGAAAAACATGAAGGCAATGGGTGATCGGTGAAAAATATGAAGGGCAAGGGGAATCATTGAAAAATGTGGAGGACATGGGTGATCAGTGAAAAGCATAATGATAAATTTTATACTCTAACAAGCTGGAAATATTGTAATTTCATTTTATTTTATCAATTTTCCTTGTTTCTCTTCCAAATAATAATATTTGAGTTGCCTCACAATTCATCTAATACATTAGGGATCACATGAGAGATTTAGAGTTGTCTAGTTCTGTGCAGGGGTATTTTAGTTCAAGGAGCTTGTTAGCTGATGCTGAAAACATGGAGCCGATATCTTCCCCTTTAACGCCACTTTTGGGACATGTTGGACAAGCTACCACAAAGGGTTTGGGACCCAAATCTTCAACGGTTCAGGCTATTAAGAAAGATATACGGCAGGTAAACTTTTCTTATCATCAATGGTGCTTGTATGTGTTACCAGTTTTAACTTCTAAAATCTAATGCTGGGCTTATCAAGTGTTCAATTATTTATGCTTGAATGTATCGGACATTGGTACAAAACGAAAAATCCCAATATGTCGGATTCAAGCTCTCACCCTGGCTAAAAAAAAAAAAATTTCAGTTATCTTCATTTATTTTCTTCCTTGGGAGAAGTAAATAAATGGTTGAATTTTGAACATGACATCCTTTTAGAATGTAACCAAACTTATAGCATGCCATTTGAGGACATACTCTTTTGGAATTATTTTGTGCTTGATTCATCAGCATGATCATTATTATGAGCCTTATAACATTTATTATGATTCGGATTTCGGATTTGTTTTTCTTATACAATAATTTTATTTATTTGTTCTATTAGTGTACTGTTTATCTTCTATTATACATATTCAGACCACCATTTTTTTTGTTATCCTTTTAAGTGTCCATATGAGTTTTATAATAGTATTTTTAAGTGGTTAGCATTCTATTTATCCCCCGCGTTTGGTATATTATCTCTGGTCCACTTTTGACCAATCCCCCTAGACAACACTAAATCCTACACCGATATTTTGATAGTTATCCTTCATTTCCAGGACTATTACATGCCATGTAATTTTCTTTTATTTTACCAATTTTAAAATTTGATATTTTCTAATTTGTTTTGTGCTATTCTAGTTTATCATATACTTCAAAAAAGGTGCCAAATTTTAGAACTATTTCATTTACAAACACTATATACCAAGATACCTTATTTTAAATATCTTTGCTGAGAATGTCTATAATCTCCCTCCCTCCCTCCCTCTTTCTCTAGAGAGAGAGAGAGAGAGAAAGGGATTTGTAACAAGTTTCTTATGTAATACTATTTTGATTGGCCACTCTGCAATTGCTTTTAATGGTGACCTTTGATAGATCATATATATCTTTAATAATTTCTTACGTAATTTTGACATGCATCTTTTCTCTTTAATGGCCAGCACAATAATTGTCATTGTAGTTAAGAGCATATGGCTTTTCAAAATAAATTTGTATCTTATAAAAATCTATATTTTGTTGTTGTTGTTTTTTTTTTCATTGTTTTGTTTGATGAAGATCAGCATTTTGCTCTCTACATTCTCACAAATTTCTTTAGCGCAGGAATTGTTCCATGGTAGATCTTCCTATCATAAAAATCAATTTGAATTTACACCAACATGATTTTGTAAAACTATGGACATTTGACCTCTTTTTAAAATTCATTGTTGGCCCTTACACCTGATTTTAGTATTAGTATTATGACTTCAAAAATTGATTTTATTCTTAAGGGGCGATTACATACAAGGCAGCCAAAAACATTGCTATTTACAAATCAACCTCTCTCTTTCATCCATTTTTCAAATTCTCACTCAAATATCAAAAAATATCAAAGTCAAAGGTCATGATAAAACCCAACCCATATTTTTCATTTTTATCAAATTCACAATGATTTGATCGTGGCACGCGCAAATGCATCGGTTTCATAGTTCAAAAAATCAAAATATCAATGTTTTGAGGGCCCTGTAATAAAAGTTCCTACCAAAATATTCATTCTTGGATTAGAAACATTCTCTTAGTGTTAATCATTTTATTAAAAAATTTTCAATTAAGTGACTGTAATATATTTTTAAATCTGTGCTACTATTATAAAAAAATGGTCTGAAAGTTTGTCCACAAGATATTTCATTAGTTGAGAATGATTGTCCAATCTTATCCATTAAAATTTGCACCTCCTATTTTGTCAGGATCTATACAGATGATCTCGATTAGAAACATTCATTGATTTTGGTGCTAAAAAACTACGCCTTTTCTTTGAAAAATTCTTCCTCCACGTGCTACTTTTTTTTTTCCCGTATCCTAGCATCATGTCTATTTTGTCCCAAATTATATTTGGAAGATTTACATACATACCATTCAATTCCTATGTATTTACATATCTAACACCTAAACTTCGATTTTTACATATTAACTCCCGCAACTATTCATGAAAATGTGTATTTCATTTCCAAAAGTTAAAATATTGGTATTTTTTATATGATATGAAAGATTTGCGTGTTATAAATGTAAAAGATAAATGCTAGGTGTTTGATATGTAAATGCATTGGAATTGAGTGGTATGTATGTAAATGCCCCATTATATTTTGGTTCAACTGTTTGTTATTTTGTTGAACCACAATTACCGTCTATTGTCTCTAATTCCTGCATTTTCTTAAGTGCTATTTTTTGTCCAATAATAGCATAACATGCATTAGTGACATCAGCTAGAAATCTCTCTCTCTCTCTCTCTGTCTCTCTCTCTCTCTCAATCTATTCCTTCTTTCTAACTCATTAACATTTGTTGCTTTGGCTTCACTCACCTTCCTCCATGTTAAGAGTTATACTAGAAACTTTCTAAGAATCACACTCGTTCACAGATAAAGAAAAATTCAGAGTGGCTATTTTTACTCTTCTAGTGGCCACTTCTTTAATGTGAAGTTGAGGACTAATATATTTGTGTTATTTGTGTTATTATTGGTGAACTAAATTTATTGTGGTTTTTTCGTTATATATACTAACAACTCTTAAATTATGCAAATGAGTTGTTTTAATGGATGGCAAATTATAATTTAGATTTATTTTCTTATGCTCCAAAGATTAAAATAACTCACAACATATGTAGTTGAAAACGGTGACATTATTTGTCCCATCTTTTTAAGTATTTGTTTCTCATCAGTAATCCCCATCTCATCAGCATTGCATTTATTAGATTTTTGACCGTTGTTTTATAGTCAGATTATAGATTTGTTTTTACTTTTCAAATTACTTGTTCATTTCTTATTTAGATTTGTCATTATTGTTGGTTGCAATTATTATTTTTTTCTCATATAATTACTTTGAAATTTTGATCAGATGTGAATAACTTGTCTGTCTCTTAATTGTGTTATCATGGTTACTGAAACTTTAGAGTTTTGATCTTAAATCAGGTAATGAGGCCGTTATTCTGGCCCTAATCATACAATGTGAGAGAGAGAGAGAGAGTGAGGGTGGTCGGGAGACAGAAACTTTGAATCTAGAGTTTAGAAGATTGTAATGATTTTTTATTTTTTTTTATATTTACATACATATCACCCAATTCTTATGTAATTATATTTCTACCGTCTAAATCTTACTTTTTACATTTATGCCACCCAAATCTTTCATATCACGTCAAAAACACTATCATTATAACTTTTAAACGTGAAATACACCTTTTCACTCATAGGTAAGGTAGTATGTATATAAAAATTGATGAGTATAGGGAGACAGAAACTTTGAATGTAGAGTTTAAAAGAGCATAATGGCTTTTTTTGGGGCATTTACATACATACCACCCAATTCTTATGTAATTATATTTCAAACATCTAAACCTTACTTTTTACATTTATGCCACCCAAGTCATTCACATCACATTAAAAGTAACATCAAAATAAATTTAAAATGTAAAATATGCACGTGGTATGTTTATAAAAAAATTAAGAGCATTGGGAGGAAGACACTATTGAATCCAGAGTTTAAAAGGGCAGAATGGTAGTTTTTTGGGGGCATTTACATACCACCCAATTCCTATGTAATTATATATCTAAACCCAAACCTTACTTTTTACATTTATGCCACTCAAGTAAAATACGCCTTTTCACACAAAGATAAGTTGGTATATAAAAATTGAAGTTGTTGTATTAGATTTGTAATACCCTAAACCTAAACCCTAAATGTATGTAAATCTTCTTCCTTTTTTTAAAGGCAAAATTGTCAGGTCTTAGTGGGTTCTTCTCTCTATCAGGATAAAGAAATGCTTCACTCTTCAAAACTCTCTGAAAGTGTGCTTGTTAAATTATACTTGCTGAATGAAACTTATTTACACATTGACTTTCAACATGTTATCTTCTGTAGTTAACTTTAGAAAAAGCAACGAGGATATTTTTGTTATTTCCCTTAAGCTATTATTATGTTCTTCAACTCATCATAATTTCATTTCCTTATATTCTAGTACTGAATGCCAATATATGCATTGAAAATGTTTAATCATGTATATGTTTGGGAGTGTACGTTATGGTTCATCCTTTTTTCTTATATGATCTATTATTGGAAGTTATGTAATATTGTATATATTTCATAAGATAGAGATTGAATTAGAAGAAGCTAAAAATTATAGTTCCTTCTTACAAAGCATTTCAAATTGTTAGGTTTCTTCATTTAATCAAAATCGTTGCTTTATTTTCCATAACTTATCAGGAGGAATAATTTACTTTCCTAGCAGTTTCATAATTTGTTGTAAGTTATCAAAGTTACTTCTTGTCCATGGGTAAAGTTCAGCCAAGAATTTTCACACATTTTCATTTTTATTGCGCTACTTCCGATTCTTCAACTTCGTTTTTGCTCTCAATTTTAGCATCTTTTGCTTTAACAATTACAACATTAAAAAAAAAAAAAATTCTGAAAGTTCAGCATCAACTTCTAGCATTTGAACAACTTACTTTTGTTCAGCAATAACTTAATATATTTGGAATTGATGTTTATTTCAAAGACTTGCTTTTGTTCGTCTAGATTGGTTGACCATCTACGTAATCAATATTTAGTTGCTATTTATGTAAATTTGAAAGTTTAAGTGCGAGATATGTAAATACATAAGAATTGTACGCTACTTATGTAAATTTCCTGTTATATTTTTGGTTTTGCATGCAAAATATTTAATGAGTTTATGTTTGATTACGCTCTAGCTGTAAACAAAGTGTTCATTCATTTGATGGGATCTATGACTCAAGTTCATGAAATCTTTTCTCATTTCTCTATGCAATAAGAACAGATCCAAACTCTTAGGTTTATAGCTCGAGCTATAGTTGTAGTTTAACTTTTCCAGGAGAATATCAAGGCACGTGAGCCAAAATAATCTTTTTATTATTTTTGAGGTGGTAAATCATGCTTATATT